CGTGTTTATAGTAGTTCATCGACGACTGTAAAACGTGTTTTGGAGCTGTCCTGACTGGCTAATAAAGTGTGTTTCGATACTTCATCAAGTGTCGTCGTTATTCGATTCGCTCCAAATCCACACGAACCCCGTACGAACATGAAGGAAGAAAAACGTAACAACTGGTGTCAGAAGGAAAAGAATAACGCAACAACATTATAATTTACTAAAAGGTACAATTGAATAACATTTTGTGTAAGCATATAATCTCATAATTATTTTTTTAAAAAATGGTTCTTTCTACACGCAGATTAAAAGAATACTTGCATTAACTTATATCTTATATACAAAGCATGGAAATTATTATCGAAAAGAAAAACATTTTTTCATTTAATAGTTCACAATGCCGACATTTTAAGTCATTTTCTAGTTGTTTGATAGAAAGACAGAGAAATTTTGAAATGAGCATCTTATCGATTTAATTTATTCATGAGACTGAATATGAAGGTCAGTGACATCGCGTGAATACTAGCTGTACTTCCCAATTCCTGGTCCGAAGTAATAAATAAACAAATTTCATCTGCCAGACCCCGCTGCAAATTCCTTTCTTAACTACCACTGGCGCCTTTCGAGTGAATAGAACAAGCATCGATTTTTAAGCAACCGTTTGCTTAGGGGCGAAACGCTGCTTTTCATTTGACGTTTGGAGAATTTTCTTTTTTCTGCTAGAACTAAAACATTTCAAAAAGAATGCTTATTATTTACTTTCCCCGTCATTTTGCTTCCCGTGAGTTGTTTATGAAAACCATCTAATCTTTTCAATTTTATTTTTTATTAGAATTTATGAAAAATACCTCATAAAGATATATATAGAGAGAGAGAGGGAATAACTTGTAATAACAGTTGAAATGCTTTCGTGAATGAAACAGGAAGTTCCAGCAGAAAGACATTGAACTTTTAAACGTTGCGATTTACAAACGTACCACAAAACAAAATTGCCGTGCGATTTTAAGTACTTTACTCGTTACTAGCAGCTTCGCTGCCAGCCTTCGTCTGGCTTTTAAATGTAACGGAAAAATGGCTCAAGGGAACACCAAACGTTAAATTCAGAAACTGCGTAGAATTTTACTCTGTAGAACAACTTCATAAAAAAAAAGTTATTACGTACAACAAAATTACAATGAAATAAGCAATATACCTTAATACAAATATTAATTATCTTAATAAATAAATTAACCAACTTCCCTTTGCAAAATCTTAAGAACTCTAATGGTATAAAGGAGGTTAAGAACTTTGTTTCCTAAAAAAATCACTCAAAACTTTTCAATATCTTAAAGACAGTGAAATGAGCAGTAAATAACATAAAAGAATACAAAAAACAAAAAATTCTGAAAACCAAATTATAATTAATGATATTTTATCTTATATTTTCAAGAGGAAAAAATTGCAATGAAATAAGCTGTATCCGTTAATACAAATATTAATTATCCTAATAAAAAATTAACCAACTTTCCGTTGAAAAAAAATAACATGCAAAACCTTTCAATATCTTACAAATAGTGAAATAAGCAAAAAATAACATGAAAGAAACTCAAAAAACAAAAAATTCCGCGCAGAATTTTACTTTGTAAAAAAAAGTATTATATATATATATATAAAAGACAATGAAATATGCCAATTTCTTAAAAACAGTGACATAAGAAATACGATGAAAAATTGTTGCCAAACCCATATTTCTAAAAGAATGAAACTATTCAAAATAATGCAATTTCATCAAAAATCTATCAACAACACTGAGAAAGGAAAATTGTTGCCAAAATCACATTTTTAGCGATGTGAGATGTGAGAAGTGTATCGGAAGCTTCATTTAAAATTTTTTTTTAAATGCAAAGTATTATCATTTTCCAAAATTCTTTTGTAAAAGCCGTATAAGGATGTAAGTTTAACGTGTCCAAAATCAAAGAAAATAAACTGTGATTTTTAAAAATTAAACTTTTTAGGAAAAAATTCCGTTGAAAAGGTGTTAAGTCCCTTTGTTAATAAATTCGTATTTAATCGATTTTAAACACGAAATTTATTTTAAGTTCGTAAAATAGCTAAGTGTCTACGTTTCAAGAGGATGTGAGTGTGTAGAGTAAAATCTCGCTCTCCTATAGCCCATTTTGTCTCAAAATGAGGCGATTTCGTCACAAAACCTAAAATTAAAAAAATTCGAATTCGAATTGCCAAAAAATCGCTTCGAGGTGCACTGGCGCTTGTCTAGATGCACCTATGCACCAAATTTCGTAGCCTTGGGTAATAAGCTATTAGCTTACGCGGCTAGCACGAACAAAAGACACACACAGACAGAGACTCTTTCTTTTATTATATGTAGAGATGACAGTTAGCATTTTTTATTCTCACTGTATCTTAACAGAAACAAAAGTTCCATCAAAACCAAATTCTCAATTCCTGAAAGTACTTTTAGTGAGCACTCGTTTCCATTATTTCTGTCTTGAATTATGTAATCTTTCATTAGTAACAGTATTCATTTTAAATCTGCATTCAAGTAGCTAAAATTAAAGTGCGTTTTATCCCGGGGCAAAAACTCGACTCATCTGTGAACAGGACGTTGAGCCAATCCGAGATAGTCCATTTGGAGATGTTAACGAAGCTACTTTAATCTTTCTCTTATCAGGTTCTGTGTTCCTCCTTACTTGCTTTGGGAACATTAAATGTCCTGACTCGGAACAGGGAGCTTACTAAAGCTATGTTCAATAAATGTGGGAAGTAGACATACACACGGAAGGTATACGAAACCCTTTATTTCTCTCTTCAATAATTTCCGGACTTCGGAATACAAGACCAACCACTTGTGATCTGAACGTAAAGAATATAAAATATTAACTAAACTCTAACTAACTTAACTTGGATTAATCAAACAAGTGCCTACTCCAAGATTGGCCGTATATTAGCAAAAAAGCGTATGTAGTACAGAGAACTGCTAACACTACGATACGTTAAATTATCAAGAGGATAAACCTGGCCTGAAGGCAACCAGCAACGAGTAAAACTACTATGGCAAGCGGCCGCTTCTAATAGCTCCTTCCTCTCTCGCTGGCAAAAAGCCACAACTTAAGTACTTGGCGTTCGCAAGACAAATTTGATAAATAAAGTTAAAGCTTTTAATTCTGGCCGGAATTAGAAAATAAGAGTGATAGTAAAGATTTAAAATAAATAAACGTTAGTAAAATTAAGATCCTTACACTCTTATGAAGGGGTGTTAATGGAACACGACACTTGGTACTCGGGAGTACAGTCCCTTCATGTTAAGCATTCGGGCCAGTACTGGCAGATACTGTCTTATCAATTGATGCTACAGCCATGGATAAACAATTGTGGAGGTTGCTCTTTGATTCTGCTTGGTTACTATATCATTTTACAGGATCTCCAAATCACTTAGCTGACAGGGCACAGGTCTTTGAACACTATCTGACTTGTCTGGGATTGCTTCCACATTTAAGAAGTTACTAAATGAAAGCTCAAAAGTAAAATTTGAAATATTAAAGTAAGGAACTTACTAAACAATGCGCGCCTTGGCCTAGGTCCTCAACTAAAGACAGCAGCTTCGGGTAGCAAGCCTAAAGCCGATTTGAGCATATTTAGACGCTGGCCCATGAAGTAGTTAGAGGTAAAGGTAAAGGTAAAAGTATGGGGGACACCAACGATGTACCATAGGTCAACTGGTAATGCCTTCCCATACTAACTCTTTGAGAGAAAAAAAAAAGGGGGGGGTAATTGCAAGTTTTATAAGAATTTGCACAGACTGAAGCTTTTAAAAAGGTCTAAAGTTTGCCTATTATGGTACATCGTGCAATTCCACAGTACGCCCCGCATCCAGTATTTAGTAAAAATAATGGTGTAGGGCATAAGTAGATTACAAGATAGTAGGAATACAATTTGAGATTCACAAGACAAATTGAACATCTGATTTGGTGCAACAAAAATAGGAGATAAACATAATTAATAAACAAATAAACATAATAAGATAATTATAATTAGTACTGGCAACACAATGTTAAATGAATTGTTATAATAATGGTTATGGAATGTTATGGAATGGGTGGTTAATGGAACACAGACACTTGGTACTCGGGAGTACAGTCCCTTCATGTTAAGCATTCGGGGCACAGTACTGGCAGATACTGTCTTATCAATTGATGCTACAGCCATGGATAAACAATTGTGGAGGTTGCTCTTTGATTCTGCTTGGTTACTATATCATTTTACGGATCTCCAAATCACTTAGCTCCATGGGTTATTTCAGATATATTGGTTTATTGCAGTTTATAAAGTTCACGAGCGGATCCATTTTGTTCATAATCACAGCATGTAAAAGTTCACTAAGTTTAAACTGTATGTGGACTTACACTTGACAGAGATCTAGGACGTAGGAAGAGAGTCGTTGCATAATTTGACGGTTAACTGTGACTATCCCAAGCCTTCTTCTAAATTCAAGAACTCTATTCTTAAATACATTAACTAACTGCGTTCTTGAGAGAGGCAACGGAAATAGATGTAACAGTAAAAGGCAAACATAATAAGATGACCGACTGGTTAATAAAAATGAAACCGTACATTTTAAGGTGTATAGGCTTTATATGCTTGTCGAAATCATTTGTGAACAATAGATTAAATCAGAGTTCTTTTGCCGCCCACCCGGGAGAGTGGTTAGCGACGCTGATTGCTGTATCGAAGGGCCCACGTTCGAATCACGAAGAAGGCAGGCATAGGTGTGAGTATAATGTCTGTGCAGCATGTGGGCACTCTAAATATGCGTCGAATTTAAGTCCTCTCGAGAGGTTAGTGTAGAGAAAGAGGTGTAAAAGATCCTTCGACTCTTCTTCCCGAGAAGTTCTCCTTCAAAATTGGGGGCGAGCTGAGCAAAATCATACTGTTGTCTGTATGGTGCTCGAGGCTCTTGCCAATGACAAGCGCAGGAATGCACTCCTTGCCTCGACGAATTCCGTGGGCTTGTTCTGATGTTACTGTCAGACAACAACAGCACAACACAAGTCACTTCAACACAACAACAGACAACAACAACACAATACAAGTCACTTCAACACAACAACAGACAACAACAACACAATACAAGTCACTTCAACACAACAACAGACAACAACACAATACAAGTCACTTCAACACAACAACAGACAACAACAACACAACACAAGTCACTTCAACACAACACAAGTCACTTCAGCAACAAACAACACGTCACAACACAACAACAGACACAACACACAAGCACTTCAAACACAACAACAGACAACAACAACACAACACAAGTCACTTCAACACAACACAAGTCACTTCAGCACAACAGACACACAACACAAGTCACTTCAACACAACAGCAACACACAAGTCACTTCAACACAACAACACGACACAAGTCACTTCAACACAACAGCAACACAACACAAGTCACTTCAACACAACAGCAACACAACACAAGTCACTTCAACACAACAACACAACACAAGTCACTTCAACACAACAACACAACACAAGTCACTTCGACACAACAACACAACAAGTCACTTCAACACAACAACAGACAACAACAACACAGCACAAGTCACTTCAACACAACAACAGACTTCTCTGAGATGATCTAAAAATTTTTTACTTCAATATTTTACGTATTTTTCATCATTTATATTTCAATTCACATGCATAGAAATCTCTTCTTTTAAATTGTCATAATTTCAGCCAGTATTTCATTTTTAACTTTCCTTTCTTTAACTGTAAAACTGCATAAAAATAACGTATTTGATTTAAAAAAAAAAAAAAAAAAGGTTTATTTATCGCCTGTCGTTATTTCTGTTGAGAGAGTCTTTAAAGATAATATGTTGGAAAAAAATAACACTGTATCCATATGATTTATTCATCTCTTATATATAAATAATACTAGATTAGTTATAAGAGTCAAAAGTTATTTAAATTTATATTTTTATTAGATATTTAAAAGTAAATATATTTCTTAATTAGAAAGCATTGAATATACAAATTTCTGAAATGTTAATATTCATGATTCTTATTATTTTTTTGTAAAAAGAATCATGAATTTGGTTTATTAGTAAAATTTGCTGTCCATTAAAATTTTGTTCGAAGATCTCTTAAGATGGTTATTTTCTCTTGAGCTTATTTTATTATTTCCAGTTTAAAAGTAACTTTTATATTTAACTTCGTTAATTTCTATCACTGATTTTATGATTTTTAATATTACTGCTTTTATCGTTTATTATTCAGAACGCCTAAAATATTTGATTGAACACATAGGTAAGAAAAATAACATTTAGTCTGAAATGAGTTGCGGAGAAAACAAAATTCTTCATTAATTTGAGCTGAAAAAAAAAGTCTTAAATTTAATCTGAGGATTAATAATTAATAAACATAACTATTATGTGAAAAAGCTCCAGTTAAATCTCTTCTAAGAAAAGAAAAATAAATATTTGAAATATATATTACGGATTTCCATGTAATTCTTTAACTCAGCGCTTTTTAAACTTTTTTCAATCGCGTCGCGACCCCTTTTTATTGTTGAGATTTTTTTCTCGACCTCAGATATTAAATATACAAATAAATATTCTCCCGTAAATAATTTACTTCTTTGGTAAGCAATATACATATAAAAAGAAGTAGTTTTAGGGTTTATTTTAAGCAAACAAAAATTAAAGAAAATTCTAATGAGACAGATGCATTTGTTTTCTACCTCATAACAAATTAACCCTCTCCGGCACGCTACTTTTAAAGTTTCGAGTTTTGATTTAAAAAAGAAAAGGTAGGCAGTCTAATTAGGCCTAGAGGAGTACACAAGTAAAATTTTGGGAAGATAGTACTTATCGTTTAATTCTGTGGGTGTGCCCAAAGTGGGCACACTGATTAAATAGAGCTTCGAAAAGGGTGTTGAAACGAGCATTGTTGTCAATGAACTGACCAATCAGATACGGAGAAACAAAGATTACATACCTTCAGTTGTCCTAGATGATCGGTGAGCCCGGTCTGGGTACACCTAGCGTTCGCCGTTTGATTTTAGGCAATATTTCAAGGGCAAAATTTAAAACTAATATAGAATAAGGAGATTAGCATACAGCCAAAAAAATAACAGAGAAGTTTCTTTTCAAACAATTCTTTTTATACCCTAAAAAACTCTGGAAGATTTCTTTGAAAAATGAGGGTCTTGAAAAACTAAACATGGCTAAAATATATGGACTGGTTTGTGTTGAGCTGCCATCTACTATAAATAAAGAAGGTTCAGAGTAACCTATAGTAACCTATAAATCGTTTTTCATTCAATTTTTCTGTGCGTACAGAAGGAAAATTTTAGATGTGTCCAGACCGGACACACTGTTCCGCAAAGGGTTAAATGATGGTGCGATATTTGACACCGCTGAACATAAAGGATCTTCAGCATACGAGGTGTGACACTAAAAAAAAGTAGGCTAAGTGTGTAGCTTGAAAACAGAGTGCAAGTGGCAACAACTGTTTTGGTGACGTCAATGTCACACACCTTCTCTATCCATGCGGCCAGTTTCGACTTAACCGACGAAGCCAGTTGGGAGTACTGCATCATCGAGTGAACACGTGCAACTGAATTTACCGGAAAAATGCCTAATGTAAAAAACCGAACAGCGAATCAAAATCAAGTTTCTTGTGCAATTTAAGAAATCAGCCACGGAGGAAACATTTCAAATGTTAGCCGAGGTTTATTGAGATGAAACTTTGTCTCATGCACGTGTGGCATAAGCGATATTCAGGGGTAAGGAGACAGTGTGGAAGATGATGAACGTGCTGGGCGCCCCCTTGGGCGTCCAGCACGTTAATCATGATTGAATGTGTTTCCAGTCGTCAGAATGTTAATCAACACTACTACATTGAAGTACTAAAAAGACCTCGTGAAAAGAATTAGGAAAAAAAGGCGACAGTTGGGCAGTGATGGATGGCTGTTGCACCAGGACAATGCACCCGCTTACACGGTCCTATCTGTCAAGCAGTTTCTGACCAGAAAAAACATTACTGTGATGGGGCATCCACCTTATTCACCTGATTTAACTCCCTGCGACTTTTTTTTTTATTTCCTAAAGTTATATTTTACTTAACCCATTTTACCTCAGATGAAGAGGTTCAGGCAAAAACGGAGAATCTCCCGAAGGGCCTTCCAAAAAACATCGTTCCAGAACTGTTATCAGCAATGGCAGCGCCGAATGCAGAAGTGTGTGAATGCTGAAGGGAAATACTTTGAAGGTGATAATGTCACGGAAAAGTGATTCTGCAAGTAGAAGAACATTTAATGCCATTTCAGAAGTAGTAAAAAATCTAGTTCTAACCGAATTCCTCAAGGATTTTTGTGAAAACTCGTTTTGAGTTTGAATCGATAGATAGCTTTACAAATTCCTTTTACACTTTATATAACAGGTAATTAATCTCATTGTCGCCTAGAAGGAATAGTGGTTAGGGAAGTAAACCGCTGAGTTGGCTTTCGACCCAGGTATAGATATATCCATGCAGAATTGGTTACCAACTCGGCGGGAGTTAACCACTAGCTGCCAGGCCGCAGCCCTGGGCAGCCCCGGCTAAGTAGACGACATTTATAAAATGCAAAAAAGATATAGACATGTGCATACAAGGCACTTGAAGATAAGTACTATCAAAATATATGTATATGTATATAAATACCAACTCAGATATAGATATATACACATTTACATACATATATATTCCGAAGCAAATAAAAGTATACATACTCATATCGATATATACATCTATACGTTATCATGATAGTTAAAGTTTACCTGAAACATGCCAATGAGGTACGCGTGATCCTTAGTATAAATAAGATACTATAAATAAAAGCTATAAACATGTACAGATACAGTACAAACTTTGAGTATGAAAACCTGGCACAACTTAAATACAAAATTAAATGTTGAACATACGTATCACATATTCTGTTGCTGACATATTGAACTAGCTTATATAGTTCTAACGTGCATACTGCTATGCTTCGCAGAGCACGTAATCTGTTTTCAGGTTAATAAATGTGCCAATTCAAGAGAATAGAGAGAATGTGTGTAGATAGTGCCAATTCAAGAGTTAATGCCATACTGAAAGTGGGATGTCTATATGCATTGCTACTGTACTAGCAATTACTTTTCTAATTTCTAAGCAAATGCGTAACGTTATACAGTAGCAATGCAGATGCATTGCTACTGTACTACGTTACGCATTTGCTTCTGCGTTACAATGTTAGGGGAGCCTAGTGTGGTACCGATAGGTCCGGGCTGGAATGTAGGAGAAGGCATGAATGTTTACAAATGTATAGTATCTTTACGCATGGGGGCGCTCTAAATATATGGCTAGCCGAACGTCTTCTCGTGTAGACTATTAGTCGGGGAGAAGATGGGAAGACTCTTGGACCCCCTCTCCCGGGTTGCTCTCCCTCAAAATTGATGCGGAAATAGAAGTCCAACCTCCTTAAAGCTCTGACAACAATTCTTCCACGAAATTTATGGACAAGACAACAATAACAATTAATCTCATTAATATCAATTAATATAAATCTTTAAAAATCTTATAAATGCAGTTTCTTTAAATTCAACTACCGAACTGAATTTTCGCAACCTCAAAATTTCCATTTGAGATCCCATCTGATCTCGCGACCCATGGTTTAAGAAACTTTGCTTTAACCAATAAATATTTAATATTTCATTTTTAAATGGTTAATTTAAACTTACTATCTTTTATTCTGTAACCGTTGGATAATTTGATTAAATTAAAATTCTTTAAATTTCAGCTTATGGTATGTGAAATTGCTCTAAAAGTCTTTAGTTGTGCACTACAACATTCCAAAACAAAGCTTTTAGAGCTTCCTAAACAACACAACACTTGTCTAAATGTTCCGAGAAGTTTTCCCTGTTAAGATTATTATTATCGATTGAGTATTCTTTATTTAGGTTCAAGGTTACTTTGAGGCAGGCTTTTTATGAACGTTTCGCCCTAGACTTTTATAATAAAAGACGCCATCATAAAATGCCATTATAACGAAAGAAAGAAAAAATCTAAATGAGCCCTTTTACACAATCTTTGAAATGAAATGCAGGTGAACGTTAATGATGACAACTTTCTTTATTATTTCGAAGATATTTGTAGTCATAATGTTATTAAAGTCCGCTTCATTGTTTTATTTAATATTAAATATCATCATTTCTTGAACTACGTAATATTTCCGAGCTCTGAGAACTAAAAGCCAAAATTACCCAGCATTCCATTTGAATGGCATGTTAGCACGCAACACCGAGCTTTTAAGTTATCATTCAGACCCTTCGTATGTGATACAGATAAAGACTTAGGGATATCTTATTAAAGCTGGAACAGAAAACTGATGGCTATGTCGCATTATTGCGTTGACTACTGAGAAATATTAAGGATATGTTATTTTCATGCTACTACAATCTTTCAAGAATGAGAAGAAATTTTACGGCAGTGGATACAAACTAAGGTACTAGTGAAAGAAAGGTTTCTTCGAACAGTTACATTGTAAATGTAGCTAGAAATTTAGTAGAAATGTAGGCGGAAAAATAGATTCAGCGAAAGCAACTGAAACAGGAACAAAAAG